CCTAACTGTCATCAGCATCTCATAGTGTTATCATAGTCCAGGCCTTGTACCGTGTCCTGCTATCTTTTTTGGGAAAGTCTCAAAAAAATAACTATTGAATTTCATAATTCTAAATCAGGAATTATTACAAAAATGTGTTGTCATTTGCTTTTCGAGTGTAGTTATTTTTTTTATGAATGTAGTAATCAATATTAATTTGAAAATTTGAAATTCAATAGTTATTTTTTTAGGATTTTTCCTTTTTTTTCCCCTCTCTTTCACCCCATTTGAATTGTTCGGACCTGTACTAGGTAATTGGTAATTCTTCTAAAGTCTTCTTGGGGCATTTCAGCAAGTAAAAACTGTTTCGAACCCTCAATTTTCTTATAAACCTTATCTCTTACAAAAGCTAATTAAATCCACTGACTTTGACGTTCCCCATAAATTAGGTAACCTCAAATACTCACAAGGATTGTCAGTATAGTATTCCTAAAATACAAAAATAAAACTTCTCCAAATGTTGGAATGGTGTCGTGGAGAAGAAAATGCATGATTTATCAAAACTGGATTGCCTAAAAGCCTCACAATACAAGCACAGAAAATCAGCCACTTGCAGATCTATCCGCTATTACACCATCTCTAACAACACATATGCTACTATGTTAAAGTGAATTTTGAATATATCTAATTTGAGTTGATTAAAAAAATTAGTTAAATTATTTTCTTTTAAAAATATGTGTCGATTTTCTAAAATACCCTGTTAAATTATTTCCATTGAAATTATTCTTGATGCAAACTCCGTTAACATATATAATCAATATTAGTAGTTTGGAGAAAGATAATAGGTATAGAACAAAATGAATTTGAAAGATAATAAGTATAGAACAAAATGAATTTGACCAAACTCAACATCTAGCTAGCTATTAATATTATAGACTGGAGATAACAGCTTTGCCTTTTATTTTAGTACTAAACCTGTTACACTTATGTGTTTAAATAATGCTGCATTTTGCAACGCAATGAAGAGATTGTCTGCATTATTGAAACATTCAGTTAATCCCAATAAATGTCTATTTAATGCATAGAATTTATTTATCACACCGTTTAATGAGTTGCTTTACATGTGTAACGCAGAAAAATGCATTGAATAGTATACCCCAAAAAAAAAATGCATTGGACAGTCAGGTTTTAAGATAAAGTGGTAATGTAACAAAAGATTTTGGAATACTCTACAAGCACTCTAAAAAAAAAAAAATTTCGATATAAGTTGAGATAAAATTTTTTCACATGCTCATATTAAATATCGTAAAATTACTTTTAAAAAACTAATTTAAACACCCCCAGAGTTTAGGCGTGTGCTTTTGTCTTTTGAGATGTTTAGATGAAAGACTTGGGCAATTTAGATCATATTATTTTTACTTTTATAAAATAATATTTTTTTAATAAGTTAATGGTTATAAAAATTAATTTCTATTTAAATAAAAATTAGAGGTGTTCAACTATATCCCATCCTAGCATTCGTTCCTGTTTTAGTCATTTCAGGATGGAACAGTCTCGTCTTGAAAATTTTTTAGACCAAACAAAAGCGAGACAGGATGAATTGTTTTGAGACAGGACTAAATATGGGACAGAGTTATCCTGTCCCAACATTTTATCAAAATTTTTAATTTTTATAAATTTATTTGATTTATCACTTTAATAGTATTATGGTAATAATATTTATCAATTGTTATTTTAATTATTTGTTTACGAGTTGTTCTATGTGGGTTTCATGATGTTCTTTTAATGAACATTTTAAGTTTGTTTTTTTTTTGTTTCTCAATATTACAAAACACATTTTCTTTTTTGCCGATTTTAAATTATTGCCAACTTTTTCCCTAATTTTTATTTATTTCCTTACATAGTTTTTATGATGAGTTCTTATATCTATCATTTTAATAGTATTATGGTAATAATACTTATCAATTGTTATTTTAATTATTTGTTTACAAGTTGTTCTATGTGGGTTCCTTGATGTTCTTTTAATGAACATTTTAAGTTTGTTTATTTTTTGTTTCTCAATATTACAAAACACATTTCCTTTTTTTTTGCCAATTTTTAATTATTGCCAACTTTTTCCCTGATTTTTATCTATTTTTCTTACATAGTTTTTATGATGAGTTCTTATATTTTATGTACAGTTAGTTTTCAAATTAAAAGAGTTAAAAAATTATTTTTAAAAAAAAGAAGTTGGGACGGGACACTATTGGGACTGGATGGAATGAAAAAAAAACCGTCCCAAGTATCAAGACGGGACTAGGATAGGGTCAAACCTATGCCGTCCTGTCCCATAAATACCCATACAAAAATTGGTATTATTTTACATGCCATTGTTTAATTAAGATAAAAATATTATTAAAATTCAATTAAAAATTAAGCAGATTTTTTAATATAAAAAATCTTATTTAGATGAACCATTTATATAGCATATCATCCTTTATTTATGTGAGAAACATTTATCATAAAATTCAATTACATTTTAGCACCAATGCATGTTGCCATTTTAAATATTTTCCTTTTTTTAAAAGTAAAGGCAAAATTACATTAAGCAAATAAGTGGGCAAGCAATATGATACTAAAAAGACAAAAGGCATAATTAAAAATACAAAAACAAAAAAGAAGCTAATAGATTGAAAAGAAATAAAACTAAAGAACAAACAAAAATTAGTGATGTCTTCTATAAAGTAATCGCAAGGGGCTCCCAAGTGTTAGTGAAAATTTGGAATTTAATATTTCCTTTTTTAAAAAGTAAAGGCAAATTACATTAAGCAAGTAAGTGGGAAGCAATATGATACTAAAAAGAAAAAGGCATAATTAAAAATACAAAAAAAAAGAAGCTAATAGATTGAAAAGAAATAAAACTAAAGAACAAACAAAAATTAGTGATGTCTTCTATAAAGTAATCGCAAGGGGCTCCCAATAGTGTTAGTGAAATTTGGAATTTTAAATATTTTTTTTACTGAGGGTCATAGGTTGACTCTAACTGAGGCAAGTTTTTTTTTTATTGTCCACCCAATTCATCGGAACTTTACTCCAACTACATCTGGATCCGACCCGCGTTGCACACCTGGTTATGGTGGGTGAGTCTCCTAACAGGGATTTCTGCATACGCTGAGGCTTGAACTCGAGATCTTGCTTAAGTGGTACCAAGCCGCTTATCACTTGGACTAACTCCTGTTGGTCTAACTGAGGCAAGTTGAGGAGCCCCATCTCAGTGATTTTTCTAAATTAGGTCCCCCCCACCCCGGCTTTTGCTGCTTTTTGTTTTTGTTGCATGAAGTGTGAACGTGATGTTATGTTATTGGGCTCAATACAAACAACAATTTAAGAAGTGAAAGGCCCAACGTATAATTTTCCAAAAACCACCCTACATCAAGAGCCAGTAGTAATATGAGTTGGGTCCATAAGCCCAACCCAACAACCCATCAAAAAGACGGATTTGGGTTGCCTACAACCCCCCTAGAAGTGGGCCAAGGCAACATGCATTTTTTTTCATTTTTTTAAATTTTATTAATTACACTACAAAATGGGTCCTATTTTTAGGAATGAATGGAGTATATTAAATAGGGATAAGATTGAAAAGTTGTTGAATTTTAAATGAGGGTTAATGAAATTTAATGTTTTTCTTAGTCTATGTAAACATGTTGGAAGTGACTTATAGAACCAGAGGAATATATCACTTTTTTATTTTAATTTATATCTATATTTATTTTCATTTTTTTAAAAATAATTAAAAAGAATTTTAAGTTTCCTATAACTTTGAACAATGGTATTAAAGATCGAATGTGAATCTATGGGCTATTTGGCTGATAAACTCCGGCTCCAGAGTTTGTTTGACAAGTGTAAACTTCATAGTTCATATCATTTCAACGGTAAGGCCCATGGCATTAAATGCTTCTCGCACAACTTGACATTTTCTTTAAGCCAGAAGTCCAGAACACACAACTTGACATACCCAATCAATGGTCAAGGAATAGACAGGGAAAGCGATAGGCAAATATTACAATTGAGGATTTAAAAATTTTAATTAATTTTTTAAAATATCATAAATAAATGATCACATTATTTTTTTTAACTTTATACGTCCTCTCGTCATTTTTATAAGTTATAAATAACTAAAGTTAAGAAACATATATATATATATATATATATATATCTTTGTTTATAAAGATGTTAGAATGGCAAAAAAGAAAAAGAGAGAGAAAGAATGGGTAAAAAAATTGTTGTAATTAATGCAAAGATATATAGCATTTTTAAAAGAAATAAAGCTATTAACTTTAGAGGACATATATATGAATATTAACCTCGAAATGATCACAAGCAAAAATTAATTTTCTTAATTCATAAGAATTATTAGTAATGTTTCAAACGTCAACTTTGAGTGTGTCACTCTTGCATATTTTCTTAACTTCTGAAACCAATTAATATATTTCTAATTATATCATACAGCATTCATACACCACCCTAATTATTTAGGGGGTATTTGAGACCTCATAAAATAATATTCTTTTTTACGAAATAATTTTTTTTAAGTTAGTCCAAAGGGAGAATCTAAATTTTTTTTTAAATTTCAAAATTTTAAATCAGTTTTATTTACAACATTTTAATAACAATTAACAACATTCAAAAAATAAATAATAATATATTTTTGTAGTAATTTTTTATTGTATAGTTTTGAATTTTTTCATGATCTCAACATGTGATGAGATATCCGCAGACTTTATAATAAAGAAAGAAGGAAAAAAAGTCAGGTTTTAACTTTTTAGAGGTCCCTCCCATCCCATCAAAAGAAGACAAGACATTTTCAGACTTTTTTCTCTTATCCATATTTTAATTATATTTTCTTAAAACTTGACTACGTTCATTGCTTCCAAGTACGCAGCCAGCTGCTCCCCTGCTAACCTCCAAGGACCAACTTGAGTTCCTGAGTTTGTTTGCGCCGTTCTTTATCATTACGTGACTATCCAATTTGTCCATTTTCTGAGTTCAGACCGTGTGGTCGACTCCTCAATCTCATCTTTCTAGCTATGCCCACTTGTTCATTCACTATGCCAGCCATATCCATAAATTCTTGTGAGTCCCACGCCACTGATCCATCCCACCATTTATATCCACCCCCTGAACTCTCATCTGTAACTCAAAATCTTCACTTGTTTTCTTACTACCTCATAGTTTGTGACAGAAATAATGGCAGATGAATTTTCGGATTTGGACTGGATTCGCCATCATCTTCTTGGTGAGTTTTCGTCCTCAGAAACCTTCTTCTCCGATCTGTATCCTGTAAAACTCGAGGATTCTTCCTCGGAGTTTGATCTGAATCCGTGTGCCCCGGTGCAAAGTTTTGGCTTTGAAGATGTGGAGGTTTGGAACCCCGTGTTGGCGGAGGTCGAAATGGAGAAGAAGCCCACGTCGCCTGAGACTGACGAGAAGTCCGTGTGCGGTGAGGCGATTATGCGGCGGTACAGGGGCGTTCGGAGGAGGCCGTGGGGCAAGTTTGCGGCGGAGATCCGTGATCCGACCCGGAAAGGGACACGGGTTTGGCTGGGGACGTTTGAGAGTGAGATTGATGCTGCGAGGGCTTATGACTGTGCTGCCTTCAGAATGAGGGGTCGAAGGGCAATATTGAACTTTCCTCTGGAGGCCGGCCAATCTGAACCGACGCCGAACCGGTGTGGCCGGAAAAGGAGAAGACAAAGTTCACCGGCGGAGCTGTACCAAATTTCCACTGCCATTTAAATTTGGGTCCTTTTCCTTAAATAATATAAATTCAAGCATCAGTCCCTTACCCAGGACTTGGAATAAGCTGTATTATTTTTGTGAAAATTAGAGTGGGTTGTGAATATTTATATATAACAGCTTGCTGGTTATGTATGCGTAGTTGCACTTGCGTACATAAGTTGAGATTTTTCAATTGCACACAATGGAAAAACTGTTTTCTTTTCTTTGGCCCCGAAAGTAGCAATGATTTTTTTAACTAAAAGCAATGAATTGTTTAACATATTATTATGAGCATTTTTTGACGACGTATTATTATGAGCGTTTTATTAATGTTTAGTTAGAATTTAAGAAAAGAAGTGTTTACAAGAATGAATCCAATATAAGGCCAAAAAAAAAACTTCACAAATATATTACAAAATATTTTAAAATACTACTTCCGATCCTTAATATAAGACCCCGTTGACTTTTATTTGGTCCTAATTATAAGACCCCAATCCATTTTATCTATCTATTTACATTTTTCCAAGAAGTCCTTCTAATAATGATAGTTCTAACAATACACTTAATTAGCAAGGATATTTTAGGAGTGATAACAACTTATTTATTACAAATAACTAACTTAACTTACTTCTTTATTCCTCAAATAAGTCACAGGGTCTATAATTAGGAACGGAGGTATACTAGATATACTTTAATTTATATATAATATAAAAGAAGTTTTGTTTCTACACTTTTTTTCAATTTTTAATTGTTTTTGAAAGATTCCGAATACCCCTTCGCTCGAAAGGATTCGCTTCTTGACTCTTGGCAAGCTAAGATGAACAATTGCAATCAAACTAAAAAGAAAAATGACAGAAGAATGGTAAATAAACTTCATAATTCTAAAAATATTTTCTAAATTTGAAACTAATTTGATATTTATAAATTTACTGAAATAATCATATTATCTTTTATTTTATTTATTGTTTTTAAAAAAACTAAAGCATCCACCGGCCGACAGGTCGTCAGAGTTCTGGTACCTGAAATAAATTTCATAATGCCAAAAACACCTTTTGAATTTAAGAAATTCCAATTTAGTCACAAGTGACTAATTTGGCATTTCTAAATTTGCTGAAATGATTATATTATTTTTCATTTTATTTATTATTTTTAGAAAACCAAAGTCTTCTACTAGTTCGAGTGACCGGCTGACAATTGGTCATCAAAGTTTCGGTGGTCAGAAACAATTTTTTTAAAAAATTTTACAACTTCAATATAATAGTTAACAACTTTTGTAACGCTACTAACAATTTCAGTATAGCAATTAACAATAGATTTTTTGAAAAAGTCAATAATTGGTCGTCAGAACTCCAACGGCAAGAAACAATTTTTTTGAAAATTTTTACAATTTCCGTATAACGATTAATAACTTTTATAAATTATAAATGACGTTTTATAAATAGGACTAGAGGTAATAATATACCTAAACTGCCATTCATAGGATAGTGTGAAATGTAAAAACAAGTAAATAATAATAACTATACGTTCATATTGAAATACCTTCGCATTAAGTAACTTTTGGCATGGCGCTGGGAAGCCTTGGAAGTTGGAAGACAGGTGGGGAATAAAGAACTAGTTGAATGAAAAAGAAACATATTTCTTGTCCAAAAAAATTAATATTTAACATAGTTTTGGAAACAACTACTTTCTTGCCCAGACATCACTTTGAAGTAATTTTTTATGACTTTTGACCTTTCTTCAAATTTAAACTTTCTAAAACTGACCTTTTTCTTTTTAGTATAATTTAGGATATCTTCAAGTTATTTTGAACTTTGCACTAATCTCTATCTAAGCCTAGAGTGTAAACAAGTCTATCTAAACATAAACTATACTAGTTGATTTCCACCCCAGCTTCATATTGCAAAAGTTAGAATAAAAGTCAACTTTACCCATGATAAACAAGCCCTTAATCCTATCAATTGAACTAATTTTCGTGAACACTTCTAATCTATGCTTAACTATAGCCAAAGCTGACATTTTTGTCCCAACTTGCCTTTATTACCATCACAACAAGTGTGAATGACGCTTCATTATATGGGATATCAAGGCACTTGAACCGTTGAATTACCTGCAGTGGTATCATTTAGACCTTCAGCAAATTGTTTGACTAAGAAAAACATATTGACACTTGGAAACCACCGTACGAGAAAGAATGGCAGAGGAATACATTTGAACATACAAAATTACATAATACATCTAACTTCCTGCCCTCAGCAAACGATGATTCTTTTAATCTCTAGGCCTAATTAAGTTTTTCATCTGCAATTTTCCTAGCTACCCTATACCATCCTAATGATAAACTCAATCCCTTTCCAGCAGGGATTTCATTATATCTGCAGGAGTGGACAAAAAAAATTACAGCTGCAGCAAACAAACCAGATTAATTACATGAAGGTCGTGGTTTTGGTGGCATATAGTATGAGTTACCGCAGTCAATTGGCGTTTGCATGAGTGGATTCCATCGATCAAATATTATACGGCCTCCCCTACCAATTCTTCCACGGAATTTATATTGCGGTGACGACTCGCCATTTTTAGTGGAAGAATCTGATGGTGGTATAATGCCCGCCATAGCCAGCTTTTCTGGAATTAAAGGTTTTGTGAACAGTAGAACAGGCTCAAGAGGATCCTGCATAATCCAGTACAACAAACCACCAACAATCGTACTCAAACACATTGTGGTAACACAACTTTGGAAGATCTTAAGATATAAAAGAATGGAAAAAGGGATTTAGACTAGCAAAGTACCAATTTATGAGGCCATCCAGGGAGAACATATCGCCTCTTCAACTCTTGCCTCGTGCTAACTGCAGGGACCACGGGCAGGTTGGTATCATAGGAAGGAAGACTTGGCACAGCAGCAGGCCTCATGACATCATCAGAATCAAAAAATTCCTCCTCACTTGAAACGAACTTGGAAGAAAATGGCAAATATCCAGGGAATGCCAAGCTATCTTCCAACAATTCAGTTTCATGCTTTGGTCCCACAGAAAAAATAAATATCAGCTAAGTATATAGTTTAAACCCAAAGAAAAAAAATTCTAGGGAACTGCTTGATATCAAAGCCATATTTATACCTTATACTTCATTTGCATCCTCTGAAGTGTAACTTCACTCTCCATTACTTCTCTTTTTTTCTCTTCCCTCTGTTTATGATCGTATATGAAACACAATCAATGTGAATATAAAAGGCTAATAATAGAAAAAAGAAAAAACACCCAAGACATAACTTGAAAGTCACCTTGATCAAAGCCTCCAACAATCTCTTAGCTTGGTCAAGGTTATGCCTCACCTGGTTTAAGTGCAAAAAAATTTAATAACCTCTCCAACTACATATTTTGCCAGAAATAATCCGTCTATGGATATAAACCGCTGGCAGAATGAATTTGAGCATCATAACTAGAAAACCACATGGTTCATACAACTAATCACTAGCATCCACGTTTTTATAAAATAAGAAATAAAAACTAATTCTAAGAACTATAGAGCTTCAGATATCACTAAACAAATTCAATCAAAATACTTAACTGAAAAGACATAATAACATCCAAATCTAGTACTGAAGAAAAAGATCCAAGCCAAGAAGCCATGAGCTAAACAGCAAAGTGAAGCAATATGCCCATTCCTCTATTCCTCAAAAATTTGTTTTCCCAATCACATTCCCTTTAAAAAAAATTGGGTTCATCTTCCAGACAGATCATTGGATTTGGCTCGCAAGATCTCATCACCCATATATCTCCACTACAAGGCATCGCATGACGGTCATGTATCTTTTAACCAAAAGAATGATTCTCGGTTCTGAACAATGCTAACAACTATCTGCAGGGTATATCTTGGTCTATGATAGCAAGAGGAAAATTGATCTCTAGTCATTTTTCCTACCAAAAAGCCACATTCTTTTCAGGTGATTCTCAGTTCTCATGCCTGTGAAATATTAAATGATTTGGATGCGTTGAGGTAAAATTTCAACTTCTCTAACTCACATTAATATCAAGTGAAAATGTGCTGAGTTTTGTGTGAGGAAAGTGTATTGAGATTTTTTTTTTTTTTTTGGTAGTCTGAATTTGTAAGTGCTAAAATTCTGTTTTAATTTTCATAAGTTGAGGAAACAATATTTTTAGTCTAGACCACATGACAATGAAAGTAACAATTATGAAATAATAGTCAATTGTACGCATATCTAAATCCACATGCTGACAAGTACAGGTCAACTGAATTTCCATAACATGTTATCCCCCGTAACCAAAAACTCAAGGAATACACCTCTACCATTTCTCTCAAAAGCCTCACTTTCACTTAAGCTTCTATTGAAACAATACACAAAAAAGAGGTAGTGCACAAGTTTAGAAAGCCAATGCCCAACCCCATCAAGTATAAAATTGATCACTACCTTGCATATTTTACTCATTAACATCGGACTTCCACAAAAGATTTTATGGGTAAAAGGGTGCATTTATAACATTTTCCAAATGAAATTTTAGAAAACAGGGAAAGAGAGACACTAGCTACTGCCAGGAGGAAAAAGCATCAATAAAACAATATAAACAACAAGAAATGAGCTCATTTTTACTGGCTTTCAATTGATGCCTAAGAGAAAATCAATTAGAGGAGCTGACCTGACGAAGCTTTTCAAAAGACTGTACATTGTTTTCTCTCCTCTGCATCTGCGGAGAAAATCAGAAAGGGGTTAGTCCAGCAGAATTAATATTAGCATCCATGAATGGATGCATTGGCAGAGAAAATATTTACCCATAACTTAATAAGAATGAAAACCAAAGACCACATTTTCCACTTACCCTTCTTGTGTGAAGCCTGTGGGCCTTCTCCCTAGGTCGAAAGACATTATAGGGGTTGGTATCATTAACAGGTGGAGGCGGCTGTACACGAAATACAGTTCAGCACATCATTACTCTTCAATAACGTGCTTTTAACACATCACTTTATGCAGACAAGTAACTCTAACTGATAAAATCTTACCTAAGCCTACTATGATAAAATCTTACCGAAGCACAAAAGCCAATTTGACACAAATAGCCGAGGGAAAAAGATACAGAAAAAAAAAAAAGGTCGAAATTGGAAGTATAGATGACGAGAAAGTGGCATGAATCACAAAAGCTAGCGCTAACTGAGACACATAATCAGCAATCAACATGAATGAAAAATGGCTATATAAATCAGCAAAAAACAAACAACAAATTTGAGTACAGTAACAATTCTAAGTTGTATGCCGTGCTTAGTTATGTGGAAGGAGAATATACGGCTGGGGAAAAAATGTATACACCCACGTCAAAATATTGCCACTCAATGCAAGATAGCAATCAAACTGGGATATTACAAACCAAGTGCGTTCATTTTTAATCCAAGAAACATACATGCACTGATATATCAAGGCAGTAACTACTTAATAAATGATAAATAGCTAACCACTAACCTGCAAACGTCTCAAAATTGGCTTTTGCCACCTTTCACGCTGCCCCCAAAAAAATTATGGAAAAGAATACAAAAAGTGTCAGTAGAGATGGGTTATCTGGAGACTAGAAGCTAAAACGATCACTCCATAAAATCTATGGGTGGAACCAAATTCAGTTCAATGGGAGGAAAGATGACATAATGAATATCGCATTCAAATCCAAGTTGAGCTAATTTAATCTTGAAATCTAAGGCTGGAGCTTTACAGAGTTTAAAAATTTAAGCTGGGGTTTTGACTTGGCCCAATTTGAAACAACAAAAGACCACATCAAAATTATTTTACTCAAATTTAATACCTTGGCATATTCAAAACAACAAGTTTTTCAGTTTTAACTGATTCTAGTACAACTATTAATTTACATAAAACAGTTACATAGTTAACCAAGATGGCTCACAAGTTCTTGAGCCAAACACCAGAGTAGTTGAGCTCAGCTCAACACCAAGAATCATATAAGACTAAATATAATCAAACTTCAAATTACGTCTTCATCAAATCAAGCACACCAAGCATGCCAACCAGCTTGATTCAAATGCCACCCTAGTATCATCACTTTATAATCAGATAACACATTCTTATATGATTCAAATGCCATGCGTAGTATCCTTACTCTATGATCAGATAACATTCAATCCCATAATGACAAGCATAATATCCAAGAAAATATCAACATAGATGATAGAAAGACTAGTTTCAATTTTCTAAAACCCATTGCACACTAAGTCATCATGTGGAAGAAAAACTAAATCATACTAGAGCAGCTTGAATGCATCCATTTACCCAACAGCAAACAATGTCCAGTCAATATGCAGGCTGATTTATGCCAAATCCTAACCAGTATAATTTACATATCCCATAAAATATAGCAATATTAAAAGTCACTGAGAAAATGAAATTGATAGAGACGAGGAGGCATGCCCCTTAGAAGTTATATTTTGATGTTGACACCATACCTTCTCTTTCCAGTAATCATAAACAGAATGTATAACTGCATATTTGATTGGCTGGGTTTGTAGTGCCTACCATTTACAAGAGAACTTTTGATGAGCCCAACAGAATACACACACACATCACAAGCAAAGCATGAATTGAATTGTGGTATAATGATATCAAATATAAAACGCCAAGACACAAAGACTTAATGAAAACAATTGACGTATCCATTTGTAGTTCTTTCATTCTAATCCCTTCGTTATTTTACATTTCCTGACATGTGGGATTTGCCTTTTTTACTTGTAATAAAAATGGTTATCCCAATATCTTTCTGAATTCTTTCCTACATGTTTATATTCAAAAATTATGGAAGGCCACATTAAGTCGACCCCAAAAATATTAAATTCAAGGTTTATTTTCAATTTGTCCTACCTCAGATTGAAATACAGACTCACATGGGAAAACCTACTAGTGCTTGAGAACGGTTGTATTTGTAACTAATTAGTTGTAATCTGCTCTTGACTGTAAAAGATTTTTTAAAACAGATTCAATTAACTTTACTAATGTTGTAGTCTCCAGACAGCTAAGTTGAAAAACAATTTCTTCACAGTGTATCAAGGGCCATTTCACATAAAAGCACGTCTTTACCACCTAATAGTTAATTGCTCAAAAACCAGAGGAAAAATATCTCTTATTGAACCTAACATATTAAAAATAAGTCATTAAAAACTCACATATAGAAAAAATTATATCAAAAGAAAATGGAGACTTGCATGCATATTGTCGTCAGTGATTAGTATTAAAATTCATGAAAATCCACTAGATCATAACAAGTTCACCTCTATAGCAGCATCCCATCTTAAATGCACAGAAATTGGTGATCCAAGAGGTGTTATAACACCAGCTCTTTCCCGGGCTTTATGATCCAATACCTCCAACTTGAATAGAAGACACTCAAACCTATCCACCATGAAATTTACATGAAAACCAGAAAAACAAGATAGAAATGTTAAGCATTACAACTCCTCTCTCTCTCTCTGTCTCTCTCTCTCTCCCTCCCCATACCATCATACAAAAACCAACTTAATACTATGTTAAATCCCCTATGACATGGACACAAGATGCTACTGCGCCACCATTGTTATTATACGAAAACAACAGGTCCAAATGACCAAAAAGTAAATAGCAGAAAAGATTATGCCATCCAGGGAAGGGAAAAGGTATAAAAATAGGGAAGCGAAAGGGTATAAAAAGGATATTTAATTTGTATATATGTCTATTTTGCTAATGCTGTACTCACGTCATCGTGTCTGTCCTTTGTTATCATTATTCAATTATGCATTTATAATCCCTTTTTTAATACAGGGATATATTATAGTGGCAAATGACCAAAAACTAAATAGAAGACTTAACCCAGGAGACCGGATTTGGGAATGAGTAGATAGTGGGAAAAAAAGGTCCTTAACCCAGGAGATCAGGGTTGGGTAAACATGCATAAGGTTTCAAAAGAGCGCAAAGTTGCACAATAGGGAGCAGCCTGTTTCAAGTTATTGCAAGACTAGATGACAAAAACTACAAATTACCACAGCTCACGCACCAAACTTCTTCCTCTTTCCTTTTTCAATTTTCCAAACATGAGCCAATCTACAATAAACATGTAATTAAAGTTTTGTTGTAATTGACTACAATATTATGAACTTGGAGTGTAATTGGAATTCTTCAAAGTTCAATGCCAGGTATGATTTGGAATTTCCCCGTTTCTTCTCTTTTCTTTTTAGCTGTATCTCTCTTATGTCCAGATTAGGCTAGGGATTTCGCATGCTCAGTGAATCAAATTGCTAAAAATACCTAACTGATTAAGAGAGTTTAGGGAGAGTGAACCAATGGGAATTCTCTGTTTTTGGCTGATTTTGTGCTGTGAAATTTGCTCGTATTCATAGCTTACTGTTAGATTGAGATTTCATTTGGCATTGAGCTTGACATGCGCCTCACTCTTGAATGATATTTCAAGGAAATTTGTGTGGAAATCTTGAGGGAAAATTTTGGCCGCTGTTCTGTAATATGAATGGGAATGATGAGAGTTACACTCTAGGAGACTAGCTTGTGGTCAACTGCATCATTATCACATATAGCGGTGTTTGCCAGTTTTATTATCTCGTTACTTTGCTTTCTTAGTTAGATAGAGATTTAATTTCAGCATAAAAGACCCCTGTTTTCTTAAGAGTTTTGTTCAGTTTTGGCTATTAAATTACCTAAATAAAGTGGTCACAAATTGACTCAATAAGGATCCAGCCTCAGCTGCTCTATATTGCAAAACTTTAGACCATTTTAATTTGGATGCTATTCAACAGTAGTGTCAATATTACATTCCTCATAGTCAACGATAACAATTATACATCATGTGCACACAGACAACAAAGAAACAACAGAGACACAAGAAAGAGAGATAGAAGCAAATACCTATAGAAGAAAGATAACATAAAATGAGTAGTAAATAGGGAGATAAGTTTGACTAAAAATGGTTAAGAAAAACACGAGATAAATTGCATTGCTAAGCTACTTCCTGGTGCTATAAAATTTATCATATCTTTATCACATTATGCCAAGGCAACCAGCCATATTTACTATATATTTTTCCAATAACAGACATCCAAAAACAACTAAGCAGCTTGGATAAAGGAAGTGGTATTCTATAACGACATTAATGTAATGTAATGTATCAAGCTGTCAATCAATGTTACTCACCAATCACATTCCTATGGCAATTTACAAATTAATGCAACTAATTTATCAAATGTCTTATACAGCTCCTTCATGTAGTAGTATCCAAGATTCCACCCAGCATGGTTTTTTTTTCAAAATACTGAAGTCGTCATTGGAAGCTCAGAGTGTAATGGTTACTTCAATTTTATAAGGAAAAAGAAAAAATTGACTTGTATAACTTTTTATGGCTTCTATTCCTTAATATCTGTTCGATGCGTCAAACATGATTGTTAACTAATTCCACCAAACTGTGTTCAATGGTGCAATATGAATTTAGCAATGCTAAATAAGTCACCAACAAAACAAAATAAATGAAAGGAAAAGAGCAAATAAAGATGCAAGATAATTAGCCACCAGCAACCAAGAATGGAAAACCAAATTGAAATCAATGACACCGCATTTCAGGCTAAAAAGTTACATTTCCGGTATCAAAATCTGTTGGTCTTTGTTAAACTCTGAAAGCCAATCCTCATCTTCGTTGTCCAAGTCATACTCAACAAACTCTCCAAGCTCAGCTCGAGCTGGAAAAATGTGAAGGAATTTCAGAACAAAAGACAAAATGTCCAGAAGATCCTTTAAAATGATTGCAATATCAATGGAAAGTATAACTAGTGATCATGTGGCAGTACCTCCCCTAGCCCGCAAGTATGAAGTTGGTTGACTGAAAGTACAAGAATAGTCCCGTTCATATGTATCCACAACAACAAACTCAGGAGTAGGTATTTCAGCAGCTACTCTCCTGTTGGGAACTTGATGAGCCTACAACAAGTAGGTATTTGGATGAGACCAATCAAGTTACTGACTAAGTCCCCAATCTCAGATGGGTGCAGCTTTAAACAATGCAATAAGGCACTCATCTAGCACTATAAGAGTTCGATATGAATATTGTGATAACTTTGGACATATAAATAAAGTGTTTGAGCATAATAATCACATAAATTATTGCGCTATAAGTTGTCAGACATAAACTACTTATCTTGTTTCTGAATAAATAACAGCCTAAATGGTAATATTTCATATAACTATTCCGGGTATCACATATGATTTATCTATCAGGCTAGGCTTTACATTTTTATTATGCTTAAACCAAACAGTCATAACTTGTCAGGTGAGCTTCAAGGGCTCTGTGTCCGTGCAATTCAAACTTAGTGCATGGAGTGTGCCTAAGGGGACTGCCAAGGAACCAAAGGCTGAGTCAAGCAAAACACCTGGATGGAGGCTGCTCACCTCAAACAGCAAGAGATGTCGACACTTAAGGCCCCGCACCTCACCCAGGCACTGAGGCAAGTGCCTTTTGACTGTACTATGATGCGTATTATAATTTATCGATTAGAAGCACCATGCATATGTTGTTTCTACAAGGACAATACATATGTCAAACAAAAAAATAGCTATCCGCTAGTTTCATATCTATTTTTCATCTATCCATAAGGGAGCAGGTTTATCTGTGATCCATTTCTTATTATTTGAAATTGAAATCCTAACCATCAAGACTTGAGCAGAAGATATATTAGTTGTGTATTTCATATTCTACTGACATAACAACAACTTAGTAATTCTAAATAACAGAATAGATCGCACAGGCCAAAATGGTTAAATAAATCTCATCCACATAAATCAAAACAAATCACAAGTTCTAATTACTTATAGAATGAAAGCCATCCTCTTACCGAGTATGTAGAAGGTAACTAGAAGAGCAATGATAAGGCAATTCAAAATGCCAAAAGTTCGAACAAACATAATAGTGGTATGCACTAAAAAGACAGAATAGTCAGAAATTTCAAACGCAAGCCATCCTT